CCGCCTAAATTATTGAATATTCGATCATCCAGCAAATCAATATTCGATATCTCTCGTCCCGACAAGTTATACCTTCAGTCTGTCTCATTCGAGACACTTTGATTTTATTTTTACGCATCGCCTTTGAGATTTGCTTCTGGTACGTTCGAAAGCAGGATGTCGGGGAACTCAGAATTCGTTGGTCGTCCCCAGTTCGAAGAGAAACATGGACAAGCAAAGCATTTTAATAGCAGCGTTAAATTTAAGTTAAAAATTCCTTCATTGTTGGAATAAAAACATCCGTCGTGACGAAAGTATACACAGTTTTGAAGGAAGGAATTCTAAAACGTAATTTCTCCTTGAGAAATAAGTGAGGAGGGGCGGGGAGGTGCGGCTTTCCGTACCCGTAACAATACACACCTCGCCACACTCTTTTCCTTTCCTTTGCCAGAGGAGAAAATGACCTCTTTGTTTCTTTGTCCAAGAGTTTCTAATTCTGGGCTCCGGATTTAAATTGCACATTGGTAGGGAAGGTGGCGCACGGGTGGCGTGCACGCGGCCAAACTCGCTAGCCGCCAGTCTATTTCCATCCGGCGTGGAAGATGGAGAACGAAACTTCTTTCACTGCGCGGGGAAACAATTTTCTTCGGGACGTGGGGTGCACGGGTATCCGTAGCGTGCACGGGGATCGTCCCCTGGCTGGGCAAAGTCCTCCCATTGGCTTTTCCCTTCTCGCGGCCAGCCTTTCAACCTGGATCTTTCTTTCCTGGAAATTACTCATGCTCGCGTACACGTTCGTCGCGCGTAGATATAGACCACAGGCTGCCGAAGAGAGTACAAAGAGAGAGAGACACTTTTCACGTACTAAAAAAGATCCTTCTTCTTCGCACGCAGAAACAACCCACAAAGAACTTACCCGGCGCGAAGCCCTTATCGGTTTTTCACCTCGCATCATCCCTTTGCGACGGGACCTCTCTCTCTCTTTCCTTTCCATTACTCGCGCTCGAGTGCCTCTGCGCGCGCTTGCCCATTGCCGTATTAGAAAAAAAAAAAAAAAAAAAAAAAAAAGAAAAAAGGAGAAA